AAGAGTAAAGTCTCGTCGAGAGTAAATAAAATTTTTGAGCGATAACAAATATGGGATCATAATTACTGGCTGCTCTTGTAGTAGGAATAGGTCAATAGTAGGGACTTAAGGTAAATAGACGATAGGGAACAGGGACACTTAAAACATACGAACAAACGAAAACAATAGGTGAGGGTGGATGTGTTTTAAATATAAGAATAAAAATATAGTATCCTATTCTCATAAATTCACAACGATGCATCCTTATTGGTATTATCAATGGAGCTGATATTAATGGATCTCATGTCACATGAAAAACTAAGTAGGTGACATGGGTCAAGTCCCAGAGAATGCTAGATGACTAAGAGATGGACAAACCTCAAAAGTGGTAGATTTCCCTTACCTCCCCCCACCATCATATACATTTTTTCTAAGATGGTCTATCATTAGTAGGTTTCTTGAAGGATGCATTTTTGAAGGATTTGAATGAAGGAAGGATGGTCATTTAGGGTGGCCTTGGAGTGGTCCATATTTTAGATTTGGTGGCCTTGGATCTATATTAGAATAGCTGTAACTGCAAATGGTAACATCTTTGGATAAAGAAGCACGATTCCCATGCAAGGAGGATACAGACTAGAGCCAGCATTTTCACAAATGATTCTGCTGCCTTGGAATTTGGATGTCTGGATACCCACAGCTCCATCTGAAATAAACAGGAGGAAAGCATGGATGCTTGTTTAGCACCTCTACAAATCAACTCAAGAGGGTCTCCAGCTGGTTGATTAAGTGTCAGTAACCACTTTTGAAATGTAATCATGGGATTGTTTAATCTGGGGAGAAGTGAGTGGATATGCAAGACAGTGAAGGGTGTGGGGTAAACAAAACCTCTGTTTTTAATTTCTGTTTCATAACATGAAAGCAAGGCAGTGTTCAATACAGTGGGTCCTTGCTTTGGGACTGGAGAGCAGCTTTGTGCCACGTCAGTCCAATCTCTGTATTTCTCTGCCTTCAGAAGCAACTGAGTTAAATTCTAGAATTGAAAGAGATTGACTGTTTTGTGATTGTAATATACGTATGTATATGTGTGTTTATTAGGCTAACCACACATAAGGTATATAAGGTAACCAAATAGTTTGCTTCAGAGCATAAGCTGATTATGCCAACAGTCAGAAATCCCTTCCAGGTAAAGGGCTGTGCCCATCATGCGCTAAGAGCGTGATGGATTTTTTTCATCTTCCTCTACTGTGTCAGGTATTGGTTACAGCCTTAAATAGGATTAATTCCTGTGTTCTTTTTGTTTTGCAAGAAGCTTCCCATATAAGGTGACTGGCTCTGTCATTGAGCCCAAATACAATGATATACTCTGCCCTAATTTGCATAGCAAAGAAGAACTTGCCTACAAACTGAGTTTATGAGAGAATAACAAGATGGTGTTCATACAGCCCAACCCATGTTAACAATGGTAATATGAACTGAATCAGTAATGAAGCAACATGTTTCCAACCTGCATTTGCTTTACCACATTGGCATTCTGTAACTAGCAAGGAGGGATATTTGGCATCAGTTACTGATTCATTCTGTCCAGGGAAGGGCTGCTTCCTTGAATGGTTCAAACACTGATTTTCTCATCAGTCGGAGAAAGGGAATGACTTATTTAATCCAAGTGAAGGAAACTCCTCTATGATAGCCCTCACGTGAGAAGCCAGTGTTGAGTCTGAGCTCCTGGAATCAATTGGGTTTCTGATCCAATCTGTTTAGGATTTTATTTATTAAGGCATGAGGTTATTTTGAAAGATTTCTTCCACTTTTTTCTTTCTTTTTTAAAGTCAGACACTGAAGAACATTTGAAGAAATGACACACTCCTCAGGCAAAGAGCTCAATGGACTAGACAACCCTGGCTTCACGGTGAGTTTGCTGCTTTAAGAAGGGCAGTGCTTGCATATCATATGTTTGAGTTCTGGAAAGGGAAGATGAACTGGCAGGGGAAGGGAGGGAGAAGTAGACCAAAGAGGGAGAGAAGTGGTGAATGAGAGAGGGTGTCTGAGAGTGCAAGAGTGAGAGAGCGATCTTTCCTGGATCCTTTTCAGACCGGAGTCTGATAAATGAATCTTCAGATTGCTACTGTACTCACAGCAAGATTTAAAGGCAACTTTGCTGCTCGTTAGTTCTTTCTTATATGTTATAAATTACAGAGAGGAAAGATAGGGACAGATGGATATAACCACATTCTCTTAAATGTATTTCTTAATTTAAAAAGGAATAACACTTTCTGCTGCTTGTTTTTGTGTCCCCTGGGCTTGGAGGTTTTATGTGATGATAAAAGGCTGGTAAAATCAAAGCTAGTGAATAAGGGAAGCTGTTTTTAATCTACCATATTTCTAAAGAGGTGAATTTGACAGAAGGGTAGAAACAAAGATTTGGGATGAGCTGGAATTTGCAGTTGGATACCAAGTGCACTAGAAAACCATATGAAGTGCATACCTTTTGAGGTGTCCATCAGTGCTGTGTCCATCCTATTTGGACATAATAGGATGGTGAGGAGGGATCATCCTATGGATAAACCACAGTGCCAAGATGAAGGGGACTGCAGCCTTGTTCTCTCCAGGAGGATACAGTCAAGAGGAGCTGCTCATATCCTGAGTAGAAGGGATTAGGGAATGGACATCTGGAGTCTGTTCTGTGCTCTGCCACCAATTGCTTGTTGGACCTTGGTAAAATAATTCAGCTCTTGGGGCCTCAGTTTCCTCATCTATAACCATCTCCCAGGAGTGTGGGAGGATAAATGTGCTGACGCTTGTAAGGAGCTCTCAGAGCCTCATGGGGAAATTGCTTATAGAAATGCTGAGTCTTACCTATGAAAAATTCTATAAGGATTTTTTTTGCTACTATTTAGTTGGTCTAATAAAAGATATTGCCTCTGACCCAAGAGCTTTGTGAGTCTTATCTTTATCATTATTATTGTTAATATAATTGTAATCATTGTTATGCAATACACGTATTATATTATGTCACCAAATATAAGCATTATAATAATGATACCGTTCTCTTATTTACAGATTATATTTAATAATAGCTTATTATATTTAATATAATGTAGTAATTAATATAATATAAAGCAGCAGCAGCAACAACAAAACAACAACAGCCATAATAATAATGATGATAATATGCTCTGGTTCAGTATACCCCAACCCCAGGTCAGTGCAAGCTTCTAACTTCCATGAAGTTTGAATCCTTCCTTCTTTTAATCCTCAACAGTCTGTGTTTTATTCTGTGAAGAGCCTTCTATTAATTTTGCCCTGAGAACCAGGCAGGCACAGTGGTCAACATGGACATACAAGCCTGCCGGACTGATGTGGCCAATAATTGTAATGCACTAGAGCTGAATCTCCTGCAGCAGGCAACCAGACAATATCATGGAGCTATCCCTGCTTGTATCCCTTGCTGCAGGGTGGTGGGGCTGAAGGGCTGTCCGGCTAAAGAGATCTCTGCTTGTTCCTTCTCCCAATGAGTGTGATTCTAGTTGACAGTGTTCCCTGCTCACTCACTTGCAAGGTTCCCGCGGAGGCTCGGGCATCAGGGTTTCATGTGATGATCATGTGAAATTGTCAGTAGTACACTCACTATGTTAATTACCTAAGAAGAAAAGGAATAAGCTTCCTTTCCTGTCAAGAAGGAAATGAGCTTATTTCTGTCCATCTAGCTGAGGGTTTTACCAACACTTGGGGCTATTCAGAAATAGCTATTCCTGAAAAATTCCTTGTGGGGACTCTCTTAAATACTTTGTTATGCTTTCACTTCATCCGTAAATTAAGCACTTTCATTCTGGAGTGTCTATGGAATGTTGACTTGTGGAGTTATTGAGGAAGAGCTCTTGTGCTCTAAATTCATGTCCTAGCTGTTACTGGTAGTTTGAATCAACTTACATTTATCTATCCTATAAATGTGTAGGTAGGCATTTTTTGGCCTGTATTTTAAAATGTGTCGGCTAATACACTTTAAACCACATGCATTTAGATGGGATTTTGCACCTAGTGGAGACCAGCTTAACCATTAAGGATGAAGGCCTAGAAATATGACTGTTTTATACAAATGATGCTAATGTGCATATTCTCCAAATTATTATGCATTATTAGCCTATTTGATTTTTTTAAGTTGAAATTTGCCTTTATTTTTCATTCCCTTTTTTTCTTATTACAGTATCTGCTGCTGTGATATTGTCCATGGATCATAAAAGTCAGTTCAATAAAATGTACAGTTTTACTAGGCATTTAAATGCCTTTAAGCATCAGTGAAATGGAAGAACAAATGTAAACAGAAGTTAAATATCTGGGTTAGTGCTTTTAAAGATGTGCTTCAGTAATTGCCTGACTGGGGAAGGACATTATGCGTTAGCTTCTCTAGAGCAGCTACATGGAGTGGGTAGAGTATGGAGAGTGGACACCTAGGTTAAGAAGTCAGTAGGGAAACGTCCAGATATCCATTGCCTGAAGCAGTACAAGTTAACATAAGGGAAAAGTAGGAAGGCCTTTATTACATGTTTGCTGTTTTGTGATAACTGCTTTCATATGGGAACTAACCTATGGTAATTTCCCCCACTTTCATTGAGAGCTAAGCTACAATGGTTTACCTTTTACTTTCCATAGGCTAGAGCAGGGGTGGGCAAAATACGGCCTGCAAGTCCATTCTATCTGGCCCACAGGGCCCCTAAAAATTTTTGAAAATTAATATTTCTCTGCTTTGGTTCCTGTCAAAAATGACAGGACCCAGGGGAAGCCCAGCGGTCTCCCACAACAGCAGGGCCCACCTGGCCCCGCACCCCCCAGTGCTGCCTGGGAGCACATGGCTGCACTGTGCCGGAAACTCAGGTAAGGGGGGTGGGGGAGGGCAGGAAAGGAGCTGGTGTGGAGCGCGGGGGGGAAAAGCAGTCCCTCCCCCACCCCATGGCCAGTGCTCCCTGCTGCAGCCACTTGCAGACTGCGGGGATGTCTGGAGCAGACACAGGCAGTCCCAGGTAGTCTGTGAGTGG